ACATTTTGCATCTTTATTTCCCACTGTCAGACTCTTATTCAACACCAATTAGACACCTATTAGATGCTGATTAGATTCTTATTAGACTGTCTTAGAGGGTAATTTGCGACCCATTACAACAGAACTATCGTAAACTGAAGTGAAACTGATCATTTTTACAGAGTTGTTACTGAAAAGTTCCTCATGACTTCATCATTATACTTGACAACAAGTCAGACACAGCAAGTTTCCAAACAAGTATTTTAATCACAATATTCAAGCCAGGTATATATGATCACATTAGTGATGATGATGCATTAAAAAATAAATGTAATAAACGGCACAATCTGCAAAAGACAAGCTGCTGTTTCTGACAAGCTCTCGTTTGAAATGTTTCTGTCCACTGAGTTTCATTCTGACCTATGTGTCTTCCACATGTCTGACCCAGTTCCTGTTCCTCTGAAATAGTTCAGGGTTCTGCTTCCTAGTTCCTCCATGTTAGATGTTTGCCACAATGAGCCCACATCACTGCCTCGCTTCAGTCTGTAGAGCCCCTGTTGCACTGGAAGAAGGTGGCATTCAGACAGAGGTCCAGCAGTTCTGGGTAGGGGTTGGATCTATTGTGAAGGGCGTTGTCATTTAGCAGGTGTTGCCTTGGTTTCTACTGCCTGCATGGTTGGTCTGTATGTAAACAATGAGGTCACATGTAGGACACCTTGGGTTCATCTGGGTCCAGATAGTCCAGACTACAGAGAGAAAACAAGTAAAAACAGATGCTTCAGTCTTATGTAGGAGGGGTGGGGGCCTTTCACATCTTTGTGCCAAGGGACCCATAACTTTCATTTTCTGTCAATGTCCCTCTATAATTCATCACTGGAGGCCAATTACATTACTTGATACTGATAACTTAACTGCATTATTGTTTTCTAATAGGCTGAAGTTCAATAGAATAATACACGAAAACATCTGTTGCCATATGAACTGATTCCAGCTCTTGACTGTCAATGACATTATCCAGCATAAGTGAGTCTTTTTCCTAAATCATGTAACAACATCCATCTCAGGCACACAGCTCATTATCAAAGATAATGTGTTTGTCTGTGGATTAGAAGAAAGTTTGGTTGTTTGATTGTTCTTTTGAGATGACCTTAGATCAGTCTGTGTATTTCAGTCTATGGACACTTTTTTTTTAATTATTTTTAATCATTTGACATATGAAATGGTGTTTTTAATTATTTTTCTTTTACATGTAAATGTTCTGTTTTTGTTGTTTTATGTTCAATAGAAAATAGATGTATAAATAATCAGAAAGCAGAATGACAATAATTTGATATTTTCAGCTATAAATTTATAATCCAGAGTTTCTTTTAACTGAGACAGTAATTTGACAATTTTCCACACTTGCATGCTACAAAGCACCACTATTAAGTATTGTACAACATTGAAACATTAAAAACTGAATACTAACATTAAACTAAATGGCAGCTGAAGTTCTCCAACCATATTGCAGTGGTGCTCTCCTTATCCTACTGTCACAAATCAGAGAAGACCCACACATTTACTGAAGTTTTCAGGCAGATCAGAGTACAGTCCTTGCCCGAGGTCAAAACCAAAAATCCAGACAATCAGGCAGAGATACAGAGGCATCAGGCAAAGGCTCAAATCAGGTAAACAGGCATAGGTCAAAATCCAAAAAGGGAATACATACAAACAGGCGGGCAACAAAGCAAGCAGGAGCACAAACTACGATTTGGCAAACAACAAAGGTAAACTTACTGGTATAAGTACAGAGGGGTAAATGAGCAAACAAGCAACAGGTGTGTGGCAGAATGAGCAGGCTGGCAGCTGATAGGCTGCCAGACAATACAGGGGGGTGCCAGTGGTCGTGGACGGTGTACTGGCCGGAAAGGCTTGCAGGTGCTGACTAGAGAATGAGCAGAGGGGTGTGTGCAGGAGAAGCAGCAGGAGGGTGGAGTTTAAGAGGAGCAAGAAGCTCCAGCAGTGTCCATGACACCTACCTGCTTTCAGCCACCAACACACTTCCAATTCTCTGTACTGTGGTTAAATGTACAGGCCGCTGCCTGCTTCAACAGCTGAGAGAGAGCTGCACTGTAAATAAAAAAAAAAAACAGTAATATACCAGCGGCTGGGGCGACAAAAGAAATACTGGAAAATAACAGAAAATAACTATTTCATGAAAATACAGTAAATTTCCATAATTAAAATACATTTTATAGCTTTAATTTTACATGAGAGTTTCCATATTTCTTTGGCTTTTTAATGTTTTATAAAGAATATTTACACATGTAAAAACTGTGAAATTACCTTCAAATGTGGGCGAACATTGTTATAATTCAAATAATAAGGCTTAAAATAACAGAAAGTTACTGTTATTATTTGGTTTTAATGATATAATTTTACATAAAAAACTACTAAACTATTAATTCATATTTGATGTAATAAAACGATATACCACACATAAAAACGTGATTTATTGTTCAACTATTGAAAAACGAGGTAGCAGGTTAAAATTGCAACAATCCAGTAAATTTTCAGTCATATCAAACATAAATTGAGTTTTTAAATGTAATTTTACATTGATTTCTTGGATATTTTACAGACCTTTAATGTTAATAAAGTATTTTATTAGGAGTATCTTAGCCTGTTTTGGTAAAAACCCAAAGACCTTTGGTTATATAACACTATCTTACACTAATAAAAACGTCAATGAAAAATACATACAAGACAAAAGTTGTATGTAATATTTCAATGACCAAAAAGATCATGAACAGTATAACTTAACTAATGTAACTATGACACTTTGGCCTTGAATGCAATACGTCCTAGCATGCAAAATCAGGCACCGTCTTTTTCTCAAAACACTCAAGAGCCACTACACAGGCGATGTCACTCCAAAGAGGAGGAAAAAAACGGGAGTCTTTATTGCTGCAACCACAACATTGACTTCCACAGAAAATTTCAACCTCAGCAGCACCTGTGCCTGTCAAATGTTGGAGAAAAAAATAAATGGCGATACGTTAGTCTATGAACCAAACAATCAACTGACAGAACCAGCTATAAGTTACCTTAAAGCTAACGTTAGCCTAGTGGTAAGTTATCTGGACGCAGCTAAAATGCTAATCAATTTACCCTTCACTGGCAATGTTAGCAAGTAGCAATTGAAAAGAACACCCTGATAATCTAAATAATTCCAGTCATAAAATGTTTTTACCTTGTTAAACTTGATTCCACCTTTCCCTTGTAGCTGAAGACAGAAAATTGGTGAACAAGATAGTCGATGAGTTTTGGAGTAGAGCAGAGTGCAGTGAAGTCGAGGAGGTGAGGCTGATTGCCATGCACTGATTGGAAAGATGCAAACGTTAATATTTGAATTAGGCGCCTTTCTGTCTAGGGTCTGTACTCAAATTTGAAATGCATATATTTATTACAACCCGTTTTCCAAACATTGACTTTACCTTAAACGGTAATGGGGAAAAAATCAGAAAATACAGACAGAAAACAGGTATTATTTCAAGACTGTTTATTTGCTCTCCACAAAATGTGTGTGACGAGTGACGAACTGTAAAGAGTTGATTATTAGGAAAACAGAGTAGCCTACATTTAACGGCCATAAAATGTAAATATTTTTTTTCAAAAAATAAATGCAAAATTTTATAGTGTTGGCTGTTATATATTACGGCATATATCTGTTATCAACACAGGGTTAGTAAACTTAACAATGACATGCAAAAATGACATTATATTAAAAGATATTTGTAAATTACCAAACAAATCTCAGTAACATTACAGAACAAATACTTCTTTAACTGTTAATTGTCAAAACAATACATTTTCTTTTTAAAAAAATGGAAATTTCATCGTTATTCACAGTTACAGCGTTTTCATGTTATTTTACATTTGACATGTTAAATCACAGTCTATTTTTGTAATTTTATTAATATTTTCCTGTATTTTAAAAAATACAGGAAAAATCTGTAAATGTAATTGTAATTATGAGAAAAAGCTGAGAGAGCTTGGAGAGAGCTGAGAAAGAGCCGAGAATGAGCTGAGAGAGCTGAGAAAGAGCTGAGAGAGAGCTGAGAGAGAGAGCTGGAGCCGTTTCAGTGGCTGCAAGCAAGCTGCAAGAGCTGTCAGCAATCACATTGCCTTTTCTTCAGGAGATGCTGTTGTTTTGATTGAATGCATTAAACCAACATCACATTATTCATGCTGTTGTGGTTGTGCATGCTAAGATAATGCATCCACCCAAACACAAAGGAGGCAACTGGAGTTTGATTTGTGCTGCTGTTGCAGAATTACACAGGAAACAGCCTTAAACTGTTTTTCTCAAAGGCCCTGGTTACTCTGTTACTCAGTGTAATCCACAGAAGTCTTTGGTTCAACTGCAGAAATCTAACAGACACCTGTCTCCTCCACCTAGATGAAGAAAAACAAAAATCTGCATGGATAAATACCAGAATTATTATAACATAATACATAATGCATCAGTGAGTAGGACAATAAGTAACAGCCAATGTATACACACACACAGACACACACACACATATATATATATCTATATATATAGATATATATAAATATATATATCTATATATATATATATAAATGGGAAGCAGATTATATAGTGTTTGTATGCGGAGGGCTGGACGTTGTTTTGTTGCATTCCTGCGGAGCGTTTGACCTTTGACCTGGTTGTTGCATTCCAGAGAGGCTTGTTCTGCAGCTGCACCACAGCCAGCGCTGCACTCACACTGCTGCTACGCTACAGAGAGACGATGTGTGCTGAGCTCGTTTAGACAAAGCACTGGACACAGTAGAGAACCGTCAGAGACGAGTAGACACCAGAGAATCGTCCCGAGCTAACTGGACCGTCTTGTCTTGGGTCTGCATAGTTAACCCAGAACGTAGTTAGCCATTTTGCTAAGCAGCTAAACCGCCATCGTATTGAGGTTGCTTTGTAGACACACAGCAGGCTAGCCGCAGACACCAGTGCAGAGGAAATGAAGGACAAACAAAAGAGAAAGAAGGAGCGGACCTGGGCTGAGGCGGCTCGCATGGTAAACACTCTCTTTTGCGCATTAAACCAGCTGCATGTAGGTGATGTATGTTTACATGTGAAGTAATGGATCCAGATGTGTTGTTGTGTTTGAACATTCTCCTCACGACCACAGCCTGAGCTCTGCTGTAGCGTTAGCAGCAGCTAGCTACTAACCTCGCAGTGCTAGCCTGGACAGCCGACACGCTGTTTAAATGTTACCGGGAGGTCACATTTTACATTTGCTGCTTGTCTTTCAGGCTGCTAACATAAAAAGCTACGCAGCGCTGGACGCCGATGCTGGTTAGCACGCTTACAACTACATCTGCTGTTTGAGCTCTTTGTTTGCTAGGCAGCAAATTAGCTAGTGCTACGCTAATTATCATCTGAGCAACCCGTGTAACCCAGGACATATACAGGCTCTATGATCAGTTTACACACTTAATGTGAACAAACCAGTCAGTAAAAAGTGTCGCTGTGAAACCAGTGGTCTTACAGTAACGGCTAACGTGGTGTAACAGTAGCTAGCTATGGTTGTTGACTGAAATGCACGCTAACGTTAACAAAGCTAAAAGCTAACGTGAACCACCAACTCAGCTGTCTTGTGAATCTGCATTAGCACGAATGGTAAATTAACCTGGTTCTGTAGAAGGTCGAGTAGCTTTAATAGTTAAATAAGCGTGAGCTGCAAATATATCTGTTTCATTACTTAATGTCAGATAAGTTCATCATCATCACCATGGTCAGGTACAGTCTTCAGTGTTTATCTGTGTGTGAGGGCCATGGCTCAGACACAGCTGCTATATGATAGAAACAATCACAGAGAACCTAAGTGAAAATCATTTTAATGAGAACCACATTCACTGTCAGCTCGGCACATTTACACACATACTGAAAGAAGCAGCAGCTCCAGGATGTATTCTGATCTCTTCACTTCTTACACGCTTGCACAAATTTAATTTGATTTGCTTTTTCTCATCAATCCACACTCAATAATCCACATTGACAAAGAAAAAAATGAAAAATGTTTCCTAATTCTTTAGGAATCAGAAACTAAACTGTCTCATTAAGAAGTCTTCAGGCCGTTTGCTGTGGCTCCAGATTGTGGTCAGCTGCACCCTCTTTGCTTTAATTACCTCCACCATGGAGGTCATTTTTGTTTGTTTGTTTGTTAGCAGGATTATGATAAAAGTACTGGTGGATGGGACATAGTCCAGGATCCAGTTAAAGGGGCGGATCCAGGGATTTTTTTTTTTGTCACTTTCGTTAACATTGCATTAACATTTTTGGACATTTTCATCAATTTCTCAGGAAATAATGTTTGGATGTTAATGTAAATAAAATCATCTAAATTCATGGCGTTGAGATCTATGAATTTGTACATTTTAGTGTAGATCCAGATCATAATCTGGATGTGGTGGGAGAAAATGTCTGGCCTTGGTGGTTCTAGGTATCCATGATGTGTCCAGAACTTGACTGTGGCAAATTGAACTGGATGCAGTTTAGAAAGGCTCACACATATATTTAAAGGTCCCACACTTCACTGGATAGAAACCAAGCAATGAAGTCCAGTGAACTCTCTCTAGACCTCTGTGGTAAACTGCTGAGACATAGATCAATGGGTCAAGGAGGAAACCACGAACCCAGTGGTCACTGCTACAGAGCTTCAGACGTCCTCCGCAGGGATGGAGAAGCTGCTGGAAGCACCTCAGCAGCTTTCCATCAGTCAGGTGTTTATGGTAGAGAGCGGTGGTGTGCCATCAATCACACTGATTCATCACCTTTGTGTGAGATCTGCTGTAAGTTTTAGACAGAACATTGTTACAGGAGTAGAGCAGCTTCAGAAGTACATCAATACTTAGGTTGTGTGCTGGTGACCGGAGCAGAGAGTTAGCTAGTTAGTTAGCCGTTTAGCTCTGAACGTACAGTGTAATGTATATGCAGTTAAGATGTTTGTGCTACAGCTACGACTCCTCAAGTTCCCACGTCTCCTCTGAGCTTCAACTACAGTCCAGACTCTTAGCCAGGAAGGTTAACAACACTGAGGCAGCTAAATACAGGATTCTGTCACTGGAGTGAGTCATTGTCAGTTAATGGTAAATATTTTTGATAGCAGTGATTTTTAGATATTTTTCCTCTATACTGGACATTTCATACGTTTACTGTCATTTAGCCAGGAAGGAGAGAAGTGAAGAAGTCTAGACAGAGAGCAGAAGATGCAGGAAAGACAGAAATCATGAGACAGAGAAGGCCTGAGTTTAAGAGAGATTTGCTGCTGCTACTGTAATGAAAAGGTTTGTTTAAAAAAAACATGGGTTCAGAACCTTTGGTATAATCCCGCTGACAAACAACCTACAGGCTCAGGTGAAAATATGACCTCCTTCGTGGCGATAACAAAGTGAGCAAAATGTGAATGACATTAAACACATGTACTAATATTATGGAGTCAACTTAAACTAAAAATACAACCACCAGTAACAAACATCTGGATAAATAAATCAAAAGGTAGAATTTATGGCTGTGCTGTTGGATGACATTAGTTTTAACAGGTGAAACAGAGAAAGTGTTGTTTTATAATTTAAGCTGGTTAATGTGGTTGGTTGTGTTTTTAAAATGACTTTGCCTAACATGGATGAAAAAGTGCTGATGGAGACAGTGGGCAGATCACTGTCAGCACACACTTTAGACTCCACTCTGTGTTGCCCAGTTAGAAACAAGAAATTCAGAGATCCGGAAAAAGCTTCTTTTGTGTAGACAGAAACAACAGAGCAGTAGTAATTAAAGACACTTTTCAAATATGTTTGACTCTTATTCTATTACATTAACCTTACTGTGTTTTAGTTTGTGTTGTTTGTAGTTTTTATGCTCATTTTATTTTTAGTTAAAGTTTACTGTTTAAACTGTGGTAATAATTGCTGTTGTTTTAACCTGTGTTAGGACTGTAAACTGTCTCTATAGCTTTGTATTACTCCAATCAAAATAATCAGTCTCTGCAGGTCCAGACATGAACCATGGCCTCTTTCTCAGGCTGCGTCCACACCACTACGTTTTGATATAAAGCAAATACCGTCTCCATCCAGACAAGTGTTGAACAGCATAGACAGTTGTAGCATTAAAATAGAGAATGTAAGTGAACAACAGCTGCTATGAAAGACAACAAGGTCAGTAACACTGTAATTTATTATCATGTTGTATTCACCACTGGTAGTTTCGGCTGATGAGAGCCAATCAGGAGAGACCGTGGGTGTCTATGTCATCGTTTCCAAAGGTCTCCGTTTCTGTCTGTCAGGACTACAAGACAACCCCAGAGTTTTCAAAATAAAACGGGTTCAGCAGTGTTTCTGAAAGTCTCAGTTTTTAGGGCTTGAAAACTCTCAAGTCGTGTGGACAGAGGAGGAAACGTAGGACAAGAGATGAGTTTTAAAACAAAAACATAGTAGTGCGGTTGTAGCCTCAGGAAGGATGAAAAACAGTTTTTCTGATGGTTTTAATTTTTTAAACGAGCCTCAGTCCATCTCTTAGGCAGTGGATTATGTCTGGATTGATCTGGATCTGTCCTGTGTTCAGAGGTCTGGACGTGTGTGTGTCAGGTAAAAACTGTGTGTGTTTTCCAGGTGTTGGAGAACTTCTCTGATGCTCCCATGACTCCCAAACAAATCCTCCATGTCATCCAGACCAAGGGGCTGAAGGAAATGAGGTCACACACACACACACACACACACACACACACACACACACACACCATGATATCTTATCATAGTTATGATGAGTGACACTTGAATTGTTCCACACTGTGTTGTTGCGCATTCTAACATTTGTTCCCATGTTGGAATGGGTGATCTGTTGTATCTGTACTATCCTGTCCAGTATTTGTTGTGGTCAGTGAACTCATCACACAGTACACACATCAACAGAATGTGTCAGTCTGGTTCTAACTCTGTTATGTTTTCTTTTACTCTGTCTGGACCACCTGACGTGTTGCTGCCCAACAGGAGGTAGGTGCTCACACTCATTACTCTCCTCTGTGTCATCTTCCTTTATCTTGTCCAAGTGTTGCCTCTACATTGTGTTTACATTAAGGTAAATGAGATGGATTTAATCAGGCTGAATTATTCAGCCTGTTGTTATTTTTTTATCTTGTTCACACGAACTGATGGACACAACAAAAAATAAAATGAATGTATTACAACAATTACCAGTGAGGAGTGATAGGTGATCTTGTCATTTTGGGCTCCTTTCAAAATAAACATGTATATACACACAAATACTGTCATAGACTGTATTATTAGATTAAAATAAATAGATGCTGCTCAAGTTTAATCTTTTCCTGTTTAAACATTTAACTAGAAGATTTCAGCTTCTCTTGATCAGAGGAAAAGTGATGTAACACACTGGATCTAAAACACACAGTCCATCTTCTGTTTTGGTTCATTATCAAAATCAGCCCACCCCACCCCCCAGAAACCAAATCACACCAATACATGTGTATTAGATAATGAAAAATGTTATTAAACTGTTTATTGATAAACTAAACAGGATGGAACATGATGCTGCAGTTAACTGGATCAGACAAAGTACTTCATCAGACTGATTCCAATATTACCAATTAACAATCTCCTGATTGAGCTGTAATATTTCCAAATATCAAGTGATACAGTCACAAGTGTTTAAGAGACAGAGGGGTGGTCATCTCAGTCTGATGTGTGTGTGTGTGTGTGTGTGTGTGTGTGTGTGTGTGTGTGTGTGTGTGTGTGTGTGTG